TTTTTTTTTTTTTTTGTTTTGGATGTGTTATTTTTGGTATTTTGGGCTTTCTCTTACTGGGTTTATTTGAATTTCAATAGAAAGTTTCATAAATAGCACTGATTGAAAGAAAACATTGGCTTGATTTTTTTTATTATTCTATTAAACTTCATTTTAAGTCATTAAGCCATGTTTGAATACCATACTTTTGAGAAAATAGATTTTTAAATAGTAATTTTTGGGAGAATGTGTGTTAAAAAGTAGAAAATAGTTTTGAATTTAAATATAAAGTATTTTGTTATGTGAATGTATTGTTAAAATTGAATATGATTTCACATTTTGATTGGTTGAAGCTTGAAACTCAAATTTGGGGAATGTATTCAATGGGTCTTTTGAAAAAAATTGATGAATCTTTTTAAGTATTGACTTCTGGGGATTTTGTGGATTTTTTATATAGAATTAGTGGAAGTCTTTTGTAAACTTCTATGAATTTTTATTAAAAAACGTTTATTGACTTTTGTAGAATTTAAAATACTTTTTAAAGACTTTCATTTGACATAGGATTATGTGGATCCAGTACAAATTCTCACATACGAGATAGAGGTTTTCACAATTTTCCTTCCCCTTCCCCTCCTCATATAATAAAAAATTATTTTAAAAAAAATAAAAAATTAAGACCTTAATTAAATAAATAATAATCAAAATTATACATATATATGATAAACAATAAATTTAATATTCAATATTATTAATATAAAATACTTTTTAAAAATAAATAAAAATCAATATATTTAAATTTAATTATAAAATTTTCATATAAAATTTTATAATTTAATAAAAAAATAGATATTTTTCAAAAAAAAAATGAATGGAAAAAAAAATTGTAAGAATCCAATTTAATTTTTTCATAAAAAAATAGAGATAAACAATAAGAAAGAGAAAAAAATGAATGTAAATAAATATAATCAATAAAAAAAATTTAATTATACATTTAATGTTCGTAGAAGGAAAAATGAAAGATATATTGAAAAAGAAAAACATCTTTTTTTTTGGTGAAAGTCTCTTAAAATCTTATAATTAATGAAAGACAAATTTTGAGATTTTATATGAGTGTATTCAATTGAGACTTTCAAAAACTTTGATATACTTTTTTTAATAGAGATTTTATATGAGTGTATTCGATTGAGACTTTTATTGAAATTTGAATACATCAAGACTTATAGAAATTTCTAAAAAATTTTAATTGAATACACTGCCCCCATTTGATCCCCATTTTTACCCAAAAATATATTTTTGCCATCACATAAATGTAGGACCTACACATTATTATATGTTTTGATTTGAATTCAAAAGGCATAAAATTCCAATTTCACCCATGGTCTAGACCTTGGCTAAGTGGTTTTGGTAAGGCAAGGCAAATTTTGGAAAAGAAGAAGTCTTGGTCTCTGAGTAAAATCACGTGAGTTGGCAGGCAAATAATAAGCAACGGTCCAACAATTCATTATTGGGCAAAATTAATGGGGATCAAACAGCCCCACTGTAACTTTTAGAGACTTTATAAAATGGATGATGCTACAATTCACCTGGGATTCTATCCAAATAGACCTTGATTGATATTCAAATTCAATTTTGTCACTTTAAAACCTTTAGCATTCAAAATATTTAGTAATTGTTTGATAAAGAAAAGTGAAAATTTTAGCTTGTATGACTCGCTATTGGGAGTAAACTTTTGTCAATAGTACTTTTACTTGAAGAATTTTATTACTTACGATTCATTCCATCAAGTTTATGCACATTTCACAGGAGCAATTAACAAGCCACGTTTGAATTGAATTTTATAAAAAGTTTACATTTTTACTTTCCAATTGGGTGACACCCTACCCAAGCGTTTTTATTATTATTATTATTTAAAAAAAAAAAAAAGAAGAAGCACATTGGTTGACCAAGTTGAAAAGTAAACATTTGACAACTAACGAGGGACCATAGAACTTTCGAATACGGTATACCTAAATGATGTTACAATTCAAATGGGATTCTATCCAATAGACCTTGATTGATATTCAAACTCAAATTTATCACTTAAAATCGCCACTATTGAAAATATATAGTCATTATTTGATCCTCATTGTTTTTAAAATACATTTTTTCTCTCTTTTTTTCAACTATACATTCTTAATAAAATAATATTACACGCCACAAGTCAAAAAAAATTTCTCATTTTTTGACTATATATTCTCCATTAATCTACTGTTTGAAAATGCAATCTTACAATAAAATGGCACTCAAACGGGCTTTGAAGTGAAGTCATATTTTCACGTCGTCTTCCATTGTATGAACAATATGGTCTTCGCAAGATAATTTACTATTAGCGAAAATTGATATAGGGAAAAAGTTATAACTAAAAAGTTAAGAGGGTGTTTGACATCCATTTTTATGAAAAAATGAATTTTAGAATAGTAGATTAATGTAGAATGTGTGGATGAAAAGTTTTTTTTTATTTACGTGTAATATTATTTTAATGAAAAATGTGCGGTTGAAAAGAAGATAGAAAAAAATGCATTGTAAGAAAAATGAGAATCAAACGGGGTTTAAGTATCACCCATTTCAAAATTAAGAACAAAGGTTACAAGTTTCAAAAATCAGATATTTATTAAAATTTATTTATAATTTAATTAATTAATTATACATTTTATTAATTAAATGTATTGAGATCACGAATTTATACAATTTGATCACAAATTAACGATTTAATTAGTCATACATTATTTTTTAATTACAAATCATAATTTTTATATGTTACAAATTATTTTATGGCCACAATTCAAAAATTTTATAGGTCGTAATTTATTCATCGGTTACGAATCAAAAATTTATGAGTCAAAATTCTTTTATCGATCATAAATCACCAATATTATAAGTTACAAATTATCAAAGTATCAATCACAAATTAACAATTTTTTAGGTCATACATTATTTTTTGGTCACAATTTATCTTTTTCATTGGTCATATATTATTTATTAGTCACAAATTAACCAATTTAATTATCACAATCAACCAAATAATTTGTGAATACCACCAATACTCGCGACCACCATCTCACCATTGTCTCCAACAGTAAGACCACCACCGTCGTCACCAAAACTACTATCACCACCTCTGACAGTAACACCATCACCTCAAACAAAATCAACCTATTGCAGAAAACACCACCACATCATCACATCAAATCCACCACCACGAAAAAATAATTATTCCTGTCATAACCATGATCACATATCGAGACCCAAGTTTCCTAGATCTCTTTTTATCCACCGCCACTTGCACCACGACCACAAATCAGAGAAGACATCTCTGTTGCTGGGATCGAAAATCTCCAAACTCCTTCCCAATTTTTTTACCACGACAATGGGTGTACTGTCGGGCAAAGTTGTTGTGATTGAAATCTCCCCAAAGACCCCAAACTCCCTTCCCAATTTTTCTTTGTTGTCGGCTATCAAAAATCTCCAAATCCCTCCCCAGTTTTTTCTATGATGGCAACTGGTACATCTCTAGGCAACGCTGCTACAAGTTCGCAGCAGCCTCGGAGATGCAGTTTAAGGCAACTACAAACGATGGAGCGGGCAGTGTGGCGCGCATAGCACCACTGCATGACGTCGCAGTGCCGCTCGATGACATATTTCGGTGGCATCTTCTCATCTTTCGACGTGATCGTTAAATGATGGAGGAAATGGATAGAGAATGAGAGGAGAGAGAGAAGGAAGAGGGTAGAGAGAAAAAAAAATAAGGAAGAATTATCAGGGTTTGAAAATGAACTGGTGAATATGTAGATTAAATTAAATTTTTATTATTATTTAAAAGATCATCTGATTTTTGAACAAAAATTCTTTATATTTGATTTTTAAATTGCACATTTTAAAATTATGGATATGTGTAATTTCCACATTGATATATGAGTGTGGGAGTAAAAGTTGTCAAAATTTCTTATAGTTCCAAAAAGAAATTATCCATTTCTAAATGTGTCATTTGCGTCGAATAAAAAATCTTTAGGCTTTCATAACTAATTTATTTTATTGAAATGGATGCTACTAAGTAGGACTAAGAATGATGAGCAAGCAAAAATCATATCATCGAATTTGTATGGTATTATTGTCCTATGGGACCTTAACGAGTGGGCCCACAAATTTTAAATAAAAAAATATGTCATTTATGCCTTATGGACCTTCCACGACATATCTGAATACGATGCACGAGTAACTTCAATCCAATGTGTTATAATCAAATACCAGACGTCACCGCGTTATAACCAAAATCAACACTCTTTATAATTTAACGTGTCACTCTCTTCTCTGAATCAACACGTTAGGTTGACCATTTGACTCACCAGACTCGTCACTCACTCGGCCCCCACACATTTATATACACGCCTGAGCCGCCATTTCCAACACTACCAGCACACGAGCAACACTCTGTGAAGCCAAAAAACCCCATTTCGAAGATTAATCTATTTTCGGAAGCGATTAAGATATAATGATGAAATCGGAAGGAACCAGTGAGCAATTAAAGTATAAGGGTGTGAGGAAGAGAAAGTGGGGAAAATATGTGTCTGAAATTCGATTGCCCAATAGCAGGGAGAGAATTTGGTTGGGTTCTTACGAGACGGCGGAGATGGCGGCGCGTGCATTCGATGCGGCGCTGTTGTGTCTGCGTGGCAGTAATGCTAAGTTCAATTTCCCGGATAACCCACCGCCACCGGAGATAATCAGAGGGACTTCGATGACACCTACGGAAATCCAGGCGGCGGCATCCCAGTTTGCCCGCTCAGAACCAGGGAATGTTCATCCGGGTCGGGTTGAGACTTCGAATCCCCAATCGTATTCTTCTTCTGATGTACATGCAGAGTCCCCTTCTCCCTCAGTTTCGGGTAGGGCAATGCATATTGATAATGAAATGACTGAATTACCCCATGAAAATGCATTTATGGACCCCTTTTTGAATATGGGAACAGGGAATGATGTTTCTGATTTCGGGATATATCCGGGATTTTACGATTTTAATGGCGGTTATTTTATGCCACCATTGAGTAAAATTTGTCATAAAGTGGACTGATTTTCTTTTTTCAAGGCCATCTAGTTCGAATATTTAGGTTAAGTTTTATAGTTCATTATTCAGGCAAAGTGGTTAAGGATGTAAAGATTATGTAACGAATTACGTTCTTTATACAATGGAATGTCTATGAAATTTTTTTTTTCTTTTTAATAAATTGTAACTTAGAGGATAAAAAGTAACAACGGCAATCTTTTATTAGTTTATATTCTCTTTTATGCATTTTTCATCAAGTAACTGAAGTATATCTAATTGAGAGAAAAATCACGTTGATGATATCAGCAAGAAAATGAGATGAACTCAATATTTTGAAGTAACGATCAAAAGTCGACCATCGAAAGATAGGAAAAAAAAGGAAAATTAAGAAGGATTAATGGATACCTATTGAAGAGATTCAATGATAAAAAAAAAAAAATTTCTTAATGTCATGCTTTATATTCCGCTGAAGTCACTTTATCTTTCTTTGTGCTTTTACAGATTTGTTGGGCTGATTTTAGCCAAACCGTGTACAAATAATTTGACTAAGAAGACTTGTCTCGGTCTTAGGTGGGCACAATGGGCCCGAGTGTTCTTAAAAGTGAAAATAAATTAAGTTATCCAATTTATCTTAAAACAAAAACGTGTGTAGAAGTTATTTTATTTGGAAATAATTATGATGTGGGGTAACACTAATATTCAACGAAGATTCTCAGATATAAACAAATTTAAAATTTTGATGAAAAAACATTATAATTTTAAAATATAAATAATTAAACTTAAGTTGTTTATTTTGAAATAGATCATAAACAATTTTACAATGGGACAAATTCTTGTCGATCACATACTAGTGCATTCCACATGCGTCACACATGTATTGCACATATATTCTCTAATTATTCGTTTAGTTACGTTAAATGAATTTTTCCTTGTTGGTTCTAAAATTGAATAAATTTATGTCTATATAATGTGAGAACATACATATTTGAATTATGGCTTTCTAGTTAGTTTTTGAAATAACTAAGACTTCATTAAACTAATGTAACAACGAAATTATAGACTTTGTGAAGGGTTCTATCTAGATTAAGAACATCTGTTATACATTCTATATCGCCCTACTCAAATATTTGTGTAGTCCTATATAATGCAGTCTTACTCATTTAAAATAACGATAATTTTAATTTTTTAAAAGTTCAAAATATTTGGAAGTAAGTCGATACCTAATGATGGATTTCACATTGAATACCGTCCTACTCATTATAATATTTTCTTACTCTAATACATTCACTCTTGTTCATCTATAAAAAAAAATAATAAGCAAGTGGACGAATCATTGGTGAATAATCAATTGAGAAGAAAACTTGATTGAAGTTTACCTAAGAAAATTTTTAAACCACATGTTTTGTTGAGAAGAGGCATGTTCTCACTTGTTTATCCTCAACATGCTTTTAATTTTAAATTCACCAAAATTTTAATAACTTTCGGTATTCATGCATATGATGTTATTTTAATTTTTGTACTTCGCTTGAGCACCAGAAGTGATGTATGAAAGTATTTTAAAGAGTTAAAAATGAAAACATTGTCATTATTCTTTGACATTAAATTTGACATTGTATCACTTGTCGCACAACGAATAGCCAGTTTTATAATGGAAAACGCTTTCCCGCCCATACATTTTTGAATTTGCAAACAATGTCAAACTCCATGTACAACATGGAGTGTACAAGGAGCATTATTCATTTTAAAATATTCATAACCGCATTTTGCCATGTGATGCACGTGTATTGCACTGGTGTTGCCTATAATTATTGTTTTAGTTATGTTAAATTAAATGGATTTTTCTCGTTGGTCCTGAAATTGTATAAATTTATGTCGTATTTTTATAATGGTGGGTTCCTACTCATTATAATGTTTTACTCTAGAAAATTCACTATCATCCATCTATAAAAAAATAAAATAATCAAAGGATGAAACATCGGTGATGACTTGATTGAAGAAAGTTTGATTGAAGTGCACCAAAGAAAGTTTTTCAACCACATTTTTGTCGAGACAAAAGGAATGTTGTTCATTTCTTTATCCTCAACACGCTTTTAGTTTTACTAAGTTTCTTATTTTTTCAATATGCTTGCATATGATATTATTTTATTTTTTATACTTCGCTTGAGCATCAGCCATCAGATGTTTCTTAATGTCCCACAGAGTGTACAAAAATAAGTTAAGCTCATAAAAACACAGTTAATCAATTAAAACTTCATTTTTTTTTAAAACTATATAAAAATTAACATAATCACAAAACAAAATTTGAAAACCTGCAAATCACAAAGATCACTAAATTCAACATAAAAACTCTAGGAGGAAAATAATTTGATGAAAAAACTGACTTTGTTTTAACCCGACAAATGATAGAGTGTCATGTGACATTATGTAAGACATTATATAAACCATGATATACATGTAGCATCTCCCAAAACTTTATGATTTTCGACGTACAAGTCTCAATTATTAGTTTAGTTTTTACAAACGGGTCTAACGCAATGCAATCAAAGGGAAATTTGAACAAAGTTTCCTGGACGGTAACAAATCTAGAAGAACCCGTAATTTTCTAGCAAAAGAATAGTTGTCTCAACTCTATGATTCTCGTACAAGCCGACGCTAAAAGGTTACTGCTCACCACCTCTAATGAGTCGTTCCTCTTTCTCACAATTTTACTCGGAGACCGAAAACAAGAAGCGATGAAGATAAAACACTGAATTCTCTCTTTAAACCTTTACAGAAAGAATTCACTCCTGCCCAGGCTGCCCTAGAAGTGAGGAGGGAACTAGCGTTCGAGATGAGTCATGATTTGATCAACTCTATCCAACAATGGGGAATTTTTCTATTTGGCCTATTACTATTTTTTTTCATGGAAAAATCTATATTGCCCTTAATGAAATGATTATTTCTATATTGAAATACATATCCCAATCTTTTAAACTATTTTATCTTATATTTATTCTATTTTGAATTTTAGCATATAAATCCATTCTTTGATCAAGTAGATTGGAATAATCTATAACATGATGTTCATATTTTTCATAAAGTATAGTATATTCTTCAGAAGATGCATACATATTTTTTAATTGAGAAATAATATTTTTTTATTTCTTCTAACATTTTTTCTAACAAATTATCTAATCCTTCAATTGTATATTCTGACATTAATACAAATAATCATCAAATCATGCAATTAATCTCTTTGATTCTCTAAAATCTAAAAAAGATTCGTTCAAATTTTAGTAAAAATTAATAGTTTTACCTTAATTTTGATCTGGATCTTTATTCTTAGAACCGAGTAACCTTTGAGCTCTGAATGTGTGAATTGCTTCCTTTAACGACTTCCTACCTTCACGGAATCTTTACTTTTTCAGCTTCTTGCTCTCACCATATCAACTCTAAAGAATAAAATTCTAGACTTCTGTTAAAGAAAAACTCTCTTTTTGCTAAAATAAGAAGAAAACTTTCTAGTAGATCCTTCAAGAATCTATGGAAATAAATATTTAGAAACTCATATTGATATCAAAATATTGAAATTTTATTTCTACCAGAATTTATACGAGATTTTTATTTGGTACAAAGGGATTTCCAGAAAAAATTGGTTTTTGAAATGTTGATTCTCCACTACAAATCGAGTTTACAATTTGAAAGAAGATCCTTCGATTTCAAGATAATTTTTGCTATTACAATGCCTCTATTTATACAAATATATGATACTCTATTACATTATTCAGTACATCAGCAAAGACATACTTGTCTTTCTGTTATTGTCGTTCTTGGACCTACATCTTCACATGTAGCATCTGATTTTTATTAAAGGAGCTTCTATTATTGTCCTCCTTTTTCTATATCTCCACATCCTTTTTCAACTTTTTATCCAAAAAGCATCTTTCTCTATTATTGTCATCTATCTTTCATGTCTTCACATGTAGTCGGGGCACTCCCTTAGCTAGCAAGATTCTTTTATAGTGGCGGGACATCATAAAAATTGATGTATTTCGAATATTGATTCATCTTATCGAGCCTTTATAACTCGGGTGAATAAGGCTGCAAGGGTTTAAAACCTGGTGCCCTAAGACCAACTGGTTTGGGAGTCATCGCCTAAAAACCCGCTACAGGGGTTATATAGAAAGCAAATGAGAAGATAGGAAAAAAAAAAAAATATTTCAAGAATAATGATAATAATAATAACCCTCTGTTGGACATTTGATTGATATGACTTTAACCTTGACGCGAGGTAAGTAGCTTAGTTTGAGCTTAAGGGTTGAAACAATGAAATTAAAGAGAGTCTCTACTTGTTGATATGTATACTAGTAAGGGTGAGATCTATCCAAACTAAAAGAGGGTAAGGATTATAGTTGTTAAACTCCTAACCTTAGAAAACACCCCAAGATAACTGAGTGAAAAGAATAAGTTTGGGGGATTTGTGTATCTCTCGAGTGATGTAAGGATAAATTTGACCATTATGGGTAGGGAACAAACCATTCATAAGCTCGATAAATTGGCATGAGTTCACACACATACGTTGAGTATTGCAACTGACGAGTAAAGGTAAATTTTATTCATGCAATATTGATATTGTTCTAGTGTATTGCTGAGTTCCAATCCTGAGACACGGCAAGCTATTAAGCCATGTTAGTTTAACTCTGAGTCACTGCATTGTTTGAGGACAAACAATAGTTTAAGTTTGGGGGATTTGATAAGTGTGTTTTTACACACTTATTTGGATCATAAACATGACTTAAACATGGATAAAATGGTTGAATTGTGACTTAATCCAGTTAAATTTATGCATTGTAGGTAATTCAATGGAAATTGTGGAATTCAGGAGAAAAGAGCCGAAGAAGGACCAAAATGCAACAATTTGATAGTTCGAGGACCAAAGGTGCAAATATTGAAAAGTTGAGCTTAATGCAAAAAGAGAGGGAAGACATGCCAAGTATGAGCTCAATGACAAAGTAAAA